TTCCATAGGTATTGTACAATTTTACCTTCCCTCCAAGTGATATTCGAGAATGAATGCTTTTTATAGGTTTGGGGATATATACAAGAGGAGGAATGCCTCAGTATTTAATGACTATTTCACCAGATTTTATTCCTAATTCACTCTCCTGACAGTTTTGTGACACAACAAAAAAATATATCACAAGACTAAGTCTACAGAGTGGATGAACAAATCTCTCCTCTTCGGGCTAAGAATCGCAGCGACTACATACTTTTGTCAATTTTTTAAAAGAAGCAATTGAATGCTCTATGTTCTTCTCTGAAACAGACATTCTTTCTGTGACGGTCGATTTCACTTTCTTGGTTTGGAGGTTCAGTTTATCTGAACAATCCTGAGAATAGATACCCCAGATATAATTCCTTCCAAGAACCTAGGGAGAATCAGAGTTTGCCATGTCAAGTGCGAATCCTTCTATTGCAGTTATATGCTCCTCTCTCCTACATAGCCTCATCCTCCTGTATTGGCCAATCTGAAATCTATGTGAGGACTGTGTTATAGGCTGGTAAGAAGTGTAGTAGAAGAAAACAGTCAACGAGACTCGAGCGGTACTCGTTCTCCAGATATGCTGTTTACATATTCAAATCTTCATGCAGTTTATCCCCTACATTTGAAATAGTTTTCTCTCCTTATAATTTTACCCAGTGAACTCCAATCCTATTAATGGCACCAACTACCCAATAGTAGATAATGAGAAGTAGATACTCAAGCTGGATGTGTTTAGATGTTCATGCAAAACAGTAGGGAAAAGGTCATACTCACTCATTCTCCTTGCGATCTGAGTGGCCACTCCTAAGATAGCACTTTATGCAGATTGCTTAGGTTTTTTTATGGTTCTGTTTGCTGTGACCAGTCTCTTCTGTACCACAGGCCATTTACTGGTAGGTTCTCTCTGCCTCTCCCAAAAAGATGATAAAAATCACATGATCGTGAATGGAAAAGAAGCAGAGGAGATGATTAAGAACTGTTTTAAGATTATTTCTTACTCATGCCTATGCAGGCTGGAAAGGAAATATTCAGAAATAAGAACACCTGAGAACTCAAATCAGTATAGTTATATGTATATATATGTATGTTTTGTTTTGTTTTTTTTGCAGTACGCGGACCTCTTACTGTTGTGGCCTCTCCCGTTGCGGAGCACAGGCTCCAGACGCGCAGGCCCAGCGGCCATGGCTCACGGGCCCAGCCACTTCACGGCATGTGGGATCTTCCCGGACGGGGGCACGAACCCGCGTCCCCTGCATCGGCAGGCGGACTCTCAACCACTGTGCCACCAGGGAAGCCCACATTGATACTCTTGGTTGCAGATGCCTGGCAATTTTGCATTGTATTCAGATCTCCTGTTCTCTCTTTTCTAACGTTTTATCAGTGTTGTCAGTGTACAGCTCTCTTTATTAAGAATAAAAGCTACGCACGAATGAAACCTCCAATATGACAATAGAAACAAACTCACTCTAGATGAGGAAACACTTGCTATTTTATTTTTTTTAATTAATTAATTTATTTTGGCTGCGTTGGGTCTTCGTTGTGTGCACGGTCTTCTCATTGCGGTGGCTTCTCTTGTGCAGAGCACGGGCTCTAGGCGCGCAGGCTTCAGTAGTTGTGGCACGTGGGCTCAGTAGTTGTGGCACGTGGGCTCAGTAGTTGTGGCACACGGGCTCAGTAGTTGCATCACACGGGCTCTAGAGCACAGGCTCAGTAGTTGTGGAGCACAGGCTTAGTTACTCCACGGCATGTGGGGCCTTCCTTCACCAGGGCTTGAACCTGTGTCCCCTGCATTGGCAGGTGGATTCTTAAACACTGAGCCACCAGGGAAGTCCCAACACTTGCTATTTTAAATGAAAATTTCCTAGCCTGTATAGTCAGGACCAGATAAAAACATGTACTACTGTTAAGTGTATTCACTTTATTTCTGTTCGTGTTTAACACTGTTATATCTGAAGCCACCCTGTTATTAATCCTTAAATCCCCAGCAAATATTTACTGGATGCTTGCTGAGTCTGTAATCACACCAGGCACCGTGAGGTTCCCATAGATTTTGGAGAAGTAATTCTCCATTCTACAATATTTCCGTCTTGACAATATTTGCTATTTTTAGGTGATGCGTCAATAGCATTAACGTATAGATACACCGAATTCTATTATCGTAAACATACCAACTATGGAAGTAGTCATGTTCCGTTTTCTTAAAAGATGAGAATTCCTCTATTTTCAGCTATATTTCATTCCACTCAATGAATTAATCTTTCCGACCGTACTCATGTTTATTTTAGTGTTGTGTAGCATGTTAAAAACTTCTCATTGGTTTTATCAACATCCTATTTTTGTTCTCTGCCTTGCCAGTTTTGGTTTCTTGATTAACTTTTGGTAGTATGAAGGAAAAAAATGTGTATCAGAATTTGAGCATTTTAAGGAAGCCAGAAAGTCATCAATTTCAATTTCCCAGACAACGAAGAATTTTTGTTCTTCAGGCTCCAGGCATAATCGTTTCCCATTTCCACAACTGTGACTTCTTTATGTTGTACTGTCGTTTCACCCTCCCCCCTACACTTGCTGGTTTAAACAATCATGGGGAAAAGAGAAGAAATATTTATCCTTTTTCTATCTCCTTGATGCTTTATTTGCCCCCTCAGTGTTCTCTCCAAGAAGATAATTTTTGGTTTCTCTACATCGTTGTTTCCTACCCAACAAAGATTTGAGATTTTCTCCAATGATGCCCCCTTCCAAGTCACATACATAGAAATGTATCAGTAGAAAGATTGGTAGATAGGTTACATAGATATAGACAAATGTTTATATGCACACATAGCTACATGCATTCCTTTGAATGTTGCTTGCTCAGAATCGATGACTATATTCCAGGTGTGTTTCAGCTTTTCTCCTTTATATTCTAGTTGTTAATGGATGCCCTCCTTACCCATGCTTGTGTAGGGGATCAATCTATGAGAGAGGTTACATTATTCCCACAATTAAAAGAAATCACATAAATGATATTTCTCATTAACATTTTCTTTTTTCTTTCTTGGTAATTTGATATGACACGAAAGGAGTTCATAGCCAAGAGTAGTCATGGGCCCCTAGGATGGGCTTCAGGGTGTCTGTGAGCTCTGGAAGTTGGCATATATTTCCCTCTCCTTTATTTACTATAGCATGCCCTTCTTATCAGCCTCCTGAAACCCATTTTGCACTAAGGTAGAATATAAGTGCATAACCAATGACCTCGGTGAATATTTTAATTAGTAGCTTGGAGTCCTTCTGAGCATTTATTAAGTTTTATTTTACAAGTGTTGTAGAAAACTCTCTCTCGATATAGAAAATTGTGGGCAAACTAGTTTTAGGTAGACAATTTGGTTACCCTCTTATCCCTCAAATCTTTATAAAATAGGAAGGATAATGCTATCCTCGTGTTTGAAAATTAAGGAACACACGTAAGAGTGCTGTTGACCCAATGGAATCTCCTTATTTATTTATTTTTACTTTAATAAATACCCTATGCTAGACTCTTTTCAAAGTCCTTTACAAGTTTTCATGCATTAAGTGCTCATAATTCCTACCGCATAGGGTTGTTATCATCATAACTAAACTATAAGAGAGGAAACTGAGGCACAGGCAAGCCAAGTGGCTTGCCCAAAGTCACGTACAGGTGTGGAAGAGCTAGGATTTGAACCCTTCTGTTTGTAGAGCTCATGGATTTTATTTTTTCAACAACAGTGCTGTCCTATGCTACTTCCCAACAGCTGGAAAAAAAAATTTGGAAAGGGGATCTGTGAAGAATGGTCAAAACTGTTTTTCTATGCCATCCCTTGAATCCCTGTAAGACTCCCCCAAGATTGATAGGAGAATCATTATTCTAGAGCCAGTGGTCCCACAGCTGTTGGCAATTCAGCTCTCCTATAACCCTCTAGACGTGTCAGAAAGCAGCTGTCGGAGAAACTGAGCTGCCAGCAGCTGCTCCGTGTGCGACAGCGTGACATGGTATCAGCAGGGCAACAGAGGCTTATCCTGGGTGATGGGCCAGGGCAAGACAATCTCCTCCCATTTGGGATTGCTTTTTCCAGGGGAAGGTTTGGAAGCAATAACTAATTCTAAAACACGGGAGGGAGTTAAGGCATCTTGGTGTTTATAAAAATCACACCCAGAAGTACACATGTGCTCTTCCAATGGGGATTTAATTCAAAGCTGGTGATTAATGAAGATCTCAGAATCTGTGTATGTGTAACAGTCACGTAAACTCGTTGTGGGGTGAACAAAACAGTCATTAATTTGAAGATACATTTTCTTTCTCAGCCAGACTTTCCAATGTTTCTTAAACATGTTGTTTACATAAAATTTATTTATAGTGGATTTTTACCCTCCCTCAGTAATCATTGAAGAGAGATGTATATAAACAGGAAATGTCTCCCTTTAATTCCAGCTAACACCTTTGTTATTTATACTAGCATGCGTAAGTCTCTCTTTATGACATAACATCTGTTGCTGGAAGAATGGTTTTGTTGGCAGAAATGAGTAATATCTTCTGAACCAAGCAAAAGAAGACATCAATCACGGAAGAGAAAAATAACCTTGTTCCATACGTTGAACATAATGCAGACACACTTGCACACAAATCGACATGGTGATTTAAAGCTCTTCCTGAATCGCTCATAGATGGCAACATAAGCTGAGAATTTGGGCCGTATGTCCACTCTTGTAGATGAACTTATGAGCTTTTAGGGGCTCTGCGGGTTTTCCCATTCCTGATGAAGACATCCCTATTTGTGAGAAATTTGTATTTATGACACTTTATATTTGCCCTTAACGATTTTAATTTCCTAAAATTGGCAACACTCACTATGAAATTATAATTTAATTCTTATTGTAAAGTAAACGTCTTCCAAGTTTACTTAATTTACTGAATAAACTCAGTTTCTTAATAGACCTTATATATATGTGTATATATATATATTTTTTCTTTTTTTTCTTAGCTGTAATTTTGCTAGAATGAAGCAAATTGATATAAATGTGGCTTTGAATGAAAATCCCAGCTTATGCAAACAAGTATTCTCCTTTTTAAAGGTAAGGTTTATTTTAAAATTTGTAAATCTAATATGCACACTGCAGAAAATTTGGAAAATACGTAAAAGCAGAAAGGGAATTGCTTATAATCTGCTACTTGGGATTTCTACTGACATTGGCAATCCAGAATGAGGGTTTTGGATTTGAGAGGAATGAAAACTGCTGAACTACTTGGAATAAAGTTTTATTATAGTTCATTCATTAGCCCAAGATTTACAGCTTCGGGTGAAAAACAAAGTATAAACACCTGGAAAAAAGGAAGCAGTATGTGTCTTCCAAGTCACCATTTTATGAATCATTCGTATTTTAAACTTGTCATTACTGTGACATTTTTCTTGGGATTTACAAATCCCATTAAGATTGCAAGAGCATCTGTAATTCCAAAAGGCCAGGCGAGCTTGTTTGAACAGCGTAGTAGTTCAGAGTGATTTCAACGGTTCCGACAAAGCGTATTGGGAAGAATTACTTGTGTTAATTATCTTTCCTTTTCTTCCAATAGTCCTATTTTGAAAAGAAAGCAGCAAGTTTATTAGTGATGATAGATAAACTTGGGCTATACCAAGGTGGGGGGGTGGTAAAGAGAAGAGTTAAACATGTTTGTCTTCAGATTCCCAGTATCGGAGAAACATTCAAATGATTCCAAAATGAGGAAAGATAATTATACTTGATCCATGTTGATACAGAATGTGTCCTTTGAGCTAAAACTGCACTAATGCTTTAAGTCTCCATTCTATTTGAGGATTCTTTTTTTCATTCTGGAAAACAAAGTTGTGTGTCTGGATTCATCATGGATTAAAGGCATAGGGTGCTCCCAGGGCAGAGGGACACCCAGTTCCCTAAGAGGTCCTGCAAGCTCACGTCACTTCTATATATTTGCCTACACTGTTCCAGCTGCCTGTAACTTCTCATTCTCCCCAGTTAAAATCTATGTATGTTTTAACTGTTAACTCCTTTTGTAAAATGTCAAAATCAGAGAGACTATACTTCCTCAAAGATGCTTATACTCTTATTTAGCGCTTACTTTTTTCAGCCTTGGCTTATAGTTAATCAGCTCCTGGGTCATGTAAACATTTATTGAATGCTGATTTTTATTCCAGGCACCATGCTACACCCTGTCACATACTTGATGTCTTCACCAGAAGTTAGCGCTTTGAGGACAGAGATTGTGTCTCATCTTCTCCATGGACGTTCAGGACTAGTATTGCGTGGGAAAGGGAATTGACAAGTTTTGAATGAACGTGAAATGAATTAGATAAAATTTAGACTTAAAGTCATAGCGGAATCATCATCAAGAATCAAGCTTCTCCCAGGTTTTTGGGCTCTTTCAGTATCAGTGAAGGTGACCTGGTATGAATTGTGGGGTTTTTTTTTTTTCACATTTAACTGATTTATTTAATTGATTTAGTTGAGTCTTAAAAACCTACGATCAAAATGTTACTTGCATTTGCTCATACTTCCTGTAGATTATTCCTTTTTAAAAAAAAATTTTATTTTAAACTGGAGCAGCGTTGATTAACAATGTTGTGTTAGTTTCAGGTGTAGAGCAAAGTGGTTCAGTTATACATATACACGTATCTATTCTTTTTCAAATTATTGTCCAATTTAGGTTATTACAGAATATCAAGCAGAGTTCCCTATGCTATACAGTAGGTCCTTGCTGGTTCTCTCTTTTGAATATAGCAGTGTGTACGTGTCAATACCAAACTCCCAATCTACCCCTCTCCCCGGACGCTTCCTCCTGGTGACCATAAGTTCGTTCTCTAAGTCTGTGTTCTTGACCTTGGATTGTCTCCAACATGCATTTATTTATTCATTTACACGTGGGTCAGACACTAGGCTAGACGGGAGGTTCAAAATGCTTTATTCAAAACTTTTACTCTGGCGATCTACCTTTAAATAGTCAGGCCGTGACAAAATGCTGCTGGTTGCCTGTGAATCGTTTAGAGTAAAACAATTCATTAAATTCTTTGCTTGACCCCGAAAGGGTCAAAATAAGCAGCCAATGACAAACTGTAGCTATTTTTTAAAAATGTTTTTGTTTTTATTGAACTGTACTTGATGTACGGTATTGTTTCAGGTGTACATCTTCAGATTCTTTTCCATTATAGGTTGTTACAAGATCTTGAATATAGCTCCGTATGCTCTATGGTAAATCCTTGTTTATGTATTTTATATATAGTGGTGTGTATCTGTTAATCCCATCCTCCTAATTAATTCCTCCCCCTTCCCTTTCCTCTTCGGTAACAATAAATTTGTTTCCTGTCTGTGAGTCTGTCTCTGTTTCGTAAATAAGTTCATTTGTATCATTTTTTGGTTTCATGTATGAGCGATTTCATAAAATATTTGTCTTTGTCTGACTGACTTCACTTAATATGATCACCTCTAGGTCCATCCACGTTGCTGCAAACGGCATTATTTCATTCTTTTTATGGCTGGGTGGTATTCCATTGCATATATGTACCACATCTTTTTTAGCCATTCCTCTGTTGGACACAAGTCGCTTCCATGTCTTGGCTATTGTGAATAGTGCTGCTATGAACGTGAGTGTGCATGGATCTTTTTGAGTTAGAGATTTTGCTTTTTTTTTTCAGATATATGCCCAGGAGTAGGATTGCATTACTTGCAAATATTTTTCTCCCATTCTGCAGGTTGTCTGTTCTGTGTTTACAGTTTCCTTTGCTGTGCAAAAGTTATAAGTCTGATCAAACTGTAACTGTTTTTGATGATTACCAGTGACACAGCCAGTTGAGAATCCTCAGTCTTGCCCAGACTCCCTCCACTTTTCTAGTTCTGTAGAGGAAAGCATAGCTTGGGTGGAAAGAGAATCTTTTTAAGGGCCTCTTGGGATCTAATTCAAGGCATCTCAGGAAATCAGGAAGCCCCCGGGGAGAGTTCCAAGATGATCTGACCAGCGATTTATCAGCCTGATACCAGAAACCATAGTACGATGAGCTGAGTGCTTACACACTTTCTCATTCTGTTCTACTGAAGTGAATGTGCACGACAAAATCGGGAGGAAAAGAGCTATCCCTAATGAAAATCTTGAATTTATTTACATTTTGATAATTATGAGAGCTCTATGAAAGATTTTTAAAATGATAATTTTAATAGTATTTTATTCAAATAGAATTGACCTCTCTTGTGAATTAATGACTTCTCATTTTGAGGCTGTTAGATTAAATCTTTAAATATGACTTTGAACAGTAAGGGAGTACCTTATTAAATATAAATACTGCACCACAGAACTTGGATTAATGAAAATGCCAAGGTTTCTTTTAGTCTGGGAAGGTAAATGTTCCTTATTTCCCAAGTCATGATAGATAAGCTGGCATCTGTCCGTTTCATCCTAGTGAGTGTGTGCTAACACTAGATGGAAACGTCATTCTTTTGACTCTGGAATCCAACATGTCTTTACTCACATTATCCCTGTAATATTCACTGCGCTGATGTTAGGAAGTTGTCAGGTGGGATTTCTGCCAACCTAGCACGTGAGAAGTTGAGTCACAAAGCAGTTCAATGACTTTGTCTAAGGTCGTGACCCAAATCAGCGGGTAAGCAGAGAACATACTTTAAAGTCGGTGTTAACCCTTCTTCACAGGAAGTTAGCATTTCTGTTTGTAGTGCTATGGTCACTATAAAAACATGACCGGGGAACATTTTCTCTCTTGCGCAGCCTCCATTTCTCAGGCTGATGGCAGCTGTAAATCTTGGTGGTTATCTCAAAACAGAATTTAGCTCCAGCTTTTATAGAATTTGCCATTGGTGGGTATCTCCCATCCCCCACCGCTTACTCACATACTTTGACTAATAATATTTGAAATGGGGGGAAAATTATACTGGGGAAGAATGAGGAAGATTGGGGGACTATATCATTCTTCAGTGCACAAAAAGGCAAACTGAAATGAGGAGAAAGAAGAATGGAACTTTGATTGTTAATAGATGCTTAAAGACTCTGAGATCATTGTTAAATGGAATTTTGGTTTGCACGTGCGATGTCGTCTTTAAGATTCATTCAAATGAAATGTGTGAGCGTGTGTGTATGTATGTGTGTGCGCACGTGAGATGGATGTGTACATCAGTTTATGCGACCATCTCTGTGACTTTTCTCGGTGTTTGGAATATCTTAATAAATCAAGCCGCTCTGTCACTTTATTATATAAACCTAACCGTAAATGTAAATGATTCAACTTCAGTTTATTTTTTATACAGAGGTGAAACATAAAAAATAATTAGCCTGAAGTTAATTTGGAGGGCATAATTGCCATCTTAGGCAACAAATGGGTGCGTATAAAACCCACAAGCACGCATTCATAAGAAACAGGCAAATTAGAACATTTGAGGAATCTAGTTTTCTTTAACCAGAATGAAGAATTTGAGAGTTGCCACTGAGACCCAATTTTCCACCACTTAAAATGGAGAATAACTCAAAGTATGAATCTTGGGAGAATAGTGAGAAAAATCAAACACTCCGACTCTACTTTTTAAACAGTGAAGTATGTGGTGGAAGTAATGGTGACATTATTTACAGTCTAGTTTTGTAAATGTTTGTGAGGAAATTCAACATATCCAATATTAATAATTCATAGATCCTGTACTTTGAAAGGCAAATAATATTCTTGATTTCTGCTTTTTTTGATTGTAGTTAGTCGAATTTATTTCTTCATGCTTGCTTTTTTGGTATTGGATGTTATTTACATTGGGGTGTGTGCATGGCTGTGGTGTCACTATATTTGTAATTTAAATACTCAGCCATATCCATCTTGCGTGTTTTCCACGGTCATATAAAGGGGCGGGCAATGCTCTATATTCTCTCACTCCTTAAATATAAACAACGACTCTTGGTCTTTGAGTTTGTTAGTAATTGAATGCAGGTTGGTTTGTTGTAATGGCAACTCTAATAGTGTAATTTTTAATAAATGAAAATCCTTGTAGCAGTATAAGTAGTTTGCAGTATATTACAATCAGAGAGTTCCATAATAAAGTGCTAATTGCTTGGCTTTAAATGTTACATTTTGTATGCAAATTGGCCTGCAGGGAGTTATTATTTGGTGTACCATTGGTAAGAACACTAACATTAGTTTGTAATTTGTTTGAAGTGGCACACCATTATTGCTAATATATTAGATGTAGTTTATAGAAAATTATTACTTCCTCATGGAAGAGAGAAATATTTTGTGACTGTACTTTGAAGGAAAACAGAGAGAGACCAGTCAGACTGAGAACCTGAGCACTTCATGCAGATAGAATGGAAATCTGTAGCACATTATGTCATTAAAATCTTTATTCACCCTAAATTATGTGCTTTGTATCCTCATAGCAGAGGCTGTTTCTATTCTTGCAAACAAATTCTGATGCTGGTATTTTTTTCCTTCTTATATGTAATTACCTGCAAAATACAAACAGGGAAAATGGCCTTATTGGCTTAGGTGGGCAGGAGAGCTGATGTTTGTCTGAACAGTAGTAGTTTCATCGAGAGTTGCCTTGTGGGTAGTTGTCTGGGTAAGTGATTTGAAGTGTGCATATGCATGAGCTATTAGGCTGGAAATGTGACAACTGAACACTTACTGTTACTTGATTTAGTACCAACTAATAGCAGTGCAGCAGTGTATGGAAAGCAGTAGTGATCCACAACTGCCTCTCTGCTCCACGGGTGCTTTTCTGCATTTAAGTTCAAGGGATCTTTTTATTCCTTGATGACTATTACATGGCATGACTGTGAAAAGGTAGAAAACAACACTAATAATTGCCTGAAATAGTCCAGGATATTTCCTAAAATGAGCCTGAAGAGGGTAGGATTTTTTCTTCCGGACCTGGTGGGTGACAGTGAGTTGGGTCAAGACTGTTGGGTAGCAAAGCAGGATCCCAATGCTTGACTTGAGTGAACTTGGAGCACCACCACTGGCTGGATTGTCCGCTTTACCAGAATCGAGCTTCTGCTGGACATTTGGAAGTGTTCACGTCCTAGGTTAACAGGCCCAGAGATGAAATAAATCATGAAACACCTTGCAAATACTAGCCAGGGGAAGAATGAATCCATTCAAAGTGGTTTCATCACCTTTGTTTCATTTTCATATAAAATACAGTATTTATTCACTACTTGTTTGAGTCATTGATTTCATAGTGTTCATGATACTATGTTGTTTTTTTGTTTGTTTCTTTGTTTGTTTTTTTGCGGTGCGTGGGCCTCTCACTGCTGTGGCCTCTTCCGTTGCGGAGCACAGGCTCCGGACGCGCAGCCTCAGCGGCCATGGCTCACGGGCCCAGCCGCTCCGCGGCATGTGGGATCCTCCCGGACCGGGGCACGAACCCGTGTCCCCTGCATCGGCAGGCGGACTCTCAACCACTGCGCCACCAGGGAAGCCCGATACTATGTTTTGATATGAACATTTGTTCTAAAAATTTACTCTCAGATAACTAAGATTCAAGAAAACAAAATCTCACTCCTTTTAAGTATGCTTTTCTTTCACTCTGCTAACATAAATCTGTGATCTACAGAACCACGTGACCAGGC